GTTCATTGTATTAGTGTACAGTGCATTGTGGTGTCCATTGTATTAGTGTACAGTGCATTGTGGTGTCCAGTGCATTACAGAGTACAGTGCATTGTGGTGTCCAGTGCATTACAGAGTACAGTGCATTGTGGTGTCCAGTGCGTTACAGAGTACAGTGCATAGTGGTGTCCAGTGCGTTACAGAGTACAGTGCACTGTGGTGTCCAGTGCGTTACAGAGTACAGTGCATTGTGTGTGTGCATTACAGAGTACAGTGCATTGTGTGTCCAGTGCGTTACAGAGTACAGTGCATTGCTGTATCCAGTGCATTACAGTGTACAATGCATTGTGGTGTCCAGTGCCTTACAGTGTACAGTGCATTGTGGTGTCCAGTGCATTACAGAGTACAGTGCATTGCTGTATCCAGTGCGTTACAGAGTACAGTGCATTGCTGTATCCAGTGCATTACAGAGTACAGTGCATTGTGGTGTCCAGTGCATTACAGAGTACAGTGCATTGCTGTATCCAGTGCGTTACAGAGTACAGTGCATTGCTGTATCCAGTGCATTACAGAGTACAGTGCATTGTGGTGTCCAGTGCGTTACAGAGTATAGTGCATTGCTGTATCCAGTGCATTACAGAGTACAGTGCATTGCTGTATCCAGTGCGTTACAGAGTACAGTGCATTGCTGTATCCAGTGCGTTACAGAGTACAGTGCATTGCTGTATCCAGTGCGTTACAGTGTACAGTGCATTGCTGTATCCAGTGCATTGTGGTGTCCAGTGCGTTACAGTGTACAGTGCATGGTGGTGCCAAGTACGTTACAGTGTACAGTGCATTGTGGTGTCCAGTGCATTACAGAGCACAGTGCATTGCGGTGTCCAGTGCGTTACAGAGTACAGTGCATTGCGGTGCCCAGTGCGTTACAGAGTACAGTGCATTGCTGTATCCAGTGCGTTACAGTGTACAGTGCATTGTGGTGTCCAGTGCATTACAGTGTACAGTGCATGGTGGTGCCAAGTACGTTACAGTGTACAGTGCACGGTGGTGCCAAGTTCATTACAGTGTACAGTGCATTGTGGTTTCCAGTGCATTACAGAGTACAGTGCATTGCTGTATCCAGTGCGTTACAGTGTACAGTGCATTGCTGTATCCAGTGCATTGTGGTGTCCAGTGCGTTACAGTGTACAGTGCATGGTGGTGCCAAGTACGTTACAGTGTACAGTGCATTGTGGTGTCCAGTGCATTACAGAGCACAGTGCATTGCGGTGTCCAGTGCGTTACAGAGTACAGTGCATTGCGGTGCCCAGTGCGTTACAGAGTACAGTGCATTGCTGTATCCAGTGCGTTACAGTGTACAGTGCATTGTGGTGTCCAGTGCATTACAGTGTACAGTGCATGGTGGTGCCAAGTACATTACAGTGTACAGTGCACGGTGGTGCCAAGTACATTACAGTGTACAGTGCATTGTGGTTTCCAGTGCATTACAGAGTACAGTGCATTGCGGTGTCCAGTGCGTTACAGAGTACAGTGCATTGCTGTATCCAGTGCGTTACAGTGTACAGTGCATTGTGGTGTCCAGTGCATTACAGTATACAGTGCATGGTGGTGCCAAGTACGTTACAGTGTACAGTGCATGGTGGGTGTCCAGTGCGTTACAGAGTACAGCGCATTGAGGTGTCCAGTGCTTTACAGAGTACAGTGCATTGTGGTGTCCAGTGCGTTACAGAGTACAGCGCATTGAGGTGTCCAGTGCTTTACAGAGTACAGTGCATTGCGGTGTGCAGTCCGTTACAGAGTACAGTGCATTGCGGTGCCCAGTGCTTTACAGAGTACAGTGCATTGCGGTGCCCAGTGCTTTACAGAGTACAGTGCATTGCGGTGTCCAGTGCGTTACAGTGTACAGTGCATGGTGGTGCCAAGTATGTTACAGAGTACAGTGAATTGATACCATTGAGTGCCCCCCCCCCCCCCCCCCCCATTCCTCTGCAGTGTATGCTGTACTGTGTCACAGGAAACAATCACCCAAGTTTGGCTTTCTACTTCTCTAGCTAACTGCAGTGAACTTGCATGGCGATTTTCTTCAACCCTTCTCATCAGAAGACACTCCTGTTAAGGTATTAACTTCCATGGACGGCCTAGACATCTCTGTGAGTTGGTTTTAGTTCCATCTTTGTTAGATTTTTGTATCACTTTTACTACAGCATTCTGACTGATAAATAAAGCTTTTCTGATCTTCTCATAGCCTTCACCTTTCTTGTGTAAAGAAATTATTTTCATTCTCAAGCCTTGTGACATTTCTCTTCCTTGTGGTGCCGTTACTGACCGAATTAAATGGGAAGGAATTTTCTTTGTTAAGTAATGCCCTTTTATAATCAACTGCCTGCTTGACACCTCTTTAATGAATAATCAGACTCTCCTGTAGTTGAATTCTTCTTAATTAGGATTTTGTTGTCTAAAATTTAGCTTTGCTCCTAAGACTTTCATTGGGATGTATTCATTTTTGCAACATGGTCTTGAATGAATTTGTTAGGAAAAATACTTTGTGTGTGCAATCTTGTTTGCAATCAATGGGCTGCATTTGTGGGAGTATTTTGTAGTATAGTGTCCCATAGGAAATGTTGATTCTGAAAGGAAAGGAAAGTTTTTCTGACAAATCAGTGCACTCATTTATGCTGAGCACTGTAACTAGGCAGAATTATTGATCTATGTTAGTAGGCATGCTAGGCAAGAAAAGGCAACAAAATCGGAATTCCTATTATTCTTCTATGGAGCAAATGGACAGGAAGTCAGCTGTGCATTGGAAACTATTACCCCCACTATATCACATTCAATTTGAATATCTTCTCTGCTGGTAATATACTCATACAGTACTTTTACATATTCATACAGCTATGGTAATAAATTTCTTTTCCATAACCCAGTTTATGAAAACAATGTAATTTATGCCTAGTGTCCCTTTGAATAAGTTAAGATTACAAATCGTCTCATCTTCAAGGGGAATTACATTCTTTAAATGTAACCCGGCACTAGTTTTGCTGGTAGCAGCATTTTAATATTATTTACCACCCAATTGCTGTGAAATAAATATTTAAAGAGAGCCTGCTTTCTGGAGCAGTGAAGCGGCATTAGTCCATCTAATGTATTGGAGGACGATCACTCAACGTTTCTCAAGAATAATGTACTTCTCAATACCATCCTGCCTAACAATATGTGACACACAGTAGCCGATGCTTGTATCTTTCACAGCGTGCTGTCACCAGTTCAGCCATCCATGTGCTAAGTACATGGCAGGATTTTTTATATTTTCTTTCACAAGATCCAGCAACATGGTTTGGCTTTTAATTCAGTTTCAACAGGTTCACTTTTCAAGGTATTTTTTACTTACCTTAATGAATGTGGTGAAAATTCACTTTTGCAAAGAATACCCAACTGGGTGCAAGGAAAATTAAAAAAAAGGCTCTTTTGCTTGCAAATGATTGGATGATTGAAGTTAGTACTGCTGCGCCTTATTCCACTGCAAAGTGAACTTGCACTAACCCCTTTAATAAATCAGCCTGTGTTAAGGACATTACGTTGTAAGGGGCAAGGACTGGTGTTAGTGATTCTATCTTTTCCCTGGCAAGTGTAACCCCATCCCATCCCCCCCAAAAAAAATGAAAGCACAACTCCAGCCACAAATAAAATCAAAATCAATATTATCAATACGATAACAAACTAGCATTTGCTACAATATTCAGATTCAATCTGCAGTATGTTTTTTCTGCCACTGGATATCCTTAGTCTGATGGAAAGCATCCTTTAATTCACTTCCTCTGAGCCCAGGTTGCCCTTGACCCATCCCAGCTTGTGACAGTCTTGGCACCAGGATAAATGAAAGTGAACAGCAAAGTTTTCTAAACATATTTAGTTACAGATTGGTATTTAGACTAATTGGTTAGCACCTTTTTTTCACTTCATTTTTTTACATTGTAAGTGTTGTTTGGCAGCTGCTTTGTTTGTTTTTTTTGTTGTTTTTTTTATTATTATGAGATGGTTCTCTTCTAGTTTTCATTTTTAAATATATTTAGCTACTCAAAAATATTTGTTTGGGGCTGTTGTGTGCTGCCCCCTAGACATTGGATCATCACTCAATCCTGAAAAAGAAAATGTTTATGGCAATCTTATAGTGGAACTAAAGTCCATCTACACTTACCTACCATTTAGAGATGTCTTGTCTGTGAGCTCCTTTGCTGCTGTCGCTATCTAGGTGTCTATTCTGTGAGTTTCCTCGCTGCTATGTTCACCCAGTCTCCTTCTGGGTTTGGAATCCTTGGCCATTTTGATTGACAGCCTGGGATGATGTAACTCCCAATCATGCGTACGGGAGGTAATGCATTCCAATACTAAGGCATGTGTTGGATGGAAACTAAGCTTAATGTACATCCTACAGAAGTTTGCAAGTAGATGGGTGAGAAAAGTATATTGCAGAAGAAACATAGATCCAGCAGTTGTACAGATGTTCACAAATAAAATCATGCATGTAGAGTCCACTTCTTTCAAGAGCACCCCAGGAGCTCAAAATTCAGTGTGACCTATTATGTATATAACAAGCTCATCTAGAAAGATGAAGCTACATGTGGAGATGCTAGAAGTTACAGATTCTACATTCAAGAAGAGAATATCAATGCTTGTATGATCGCCATGGATTCCTGTTCATTTAGATTAAAAAATGTAACTGTTTTCAGTTTATGTAGCGTCTGATTATTGAACATTGCAATGATGTTTCAGAACCATGGACAGCACTTCATCAACCATAGTTATTGCATCGGATTACAGCCTGGCTTTCCCTCACTACACTTCACTGAAACTGCCCTACTAAAACTCAGTAATGATTTACTAACTATTAAAACCAATGGCCACTACTCCATACTCTTACTACTAGACCTTCTGCGTCCTTTAAAACTGTTGACAATCCCCTCCTTCTCAAAAAACTCCACTCTCTGGGCCTTCAAGACTCTGATTTTTCCTGGTTCTCCTCCTACCTATCACAGCGTTCCTTCAGTGTTACCTATAACTGTGTCTGCTCTCCATGCCATCTTTCTGCATGGATCCCCCAAGGTTCTCTCTTTGGACCCCTCCTCTTCTCCATTTAGACCTCCTCCCTGTTGGTCACTTAAAAACTTCCCATGGCTTCCAGTACCATCTCTATGCTGATGGCACCCAAATCTGTCTCTCTACTTCTCACCTCACTCCTTCAGTCTCCTCTTGCATTACTAACTTATTAACTGACATATCTGCATGGATGTCACACCACTTCCTTAAACTCAGTCTTTCTAAAACCAGCATCTTAATATTTCCTCCTGTCCATGCCCCCTCCCCTGACATCGCTATCAAGATCAGTACTAAAACTATCAGTCCCTCCCCTCATGCCAGGGTGCTAGGTGTAATCTTAGACTCTGACCTGTCCAGTTCAAATCCAATCACTGGCCAAATCTTGTAGACTTCACCTTCGTAACATCTCCAAAAATGCCTCTTTTTAACCATTGAAACCACTGAGCAACTTATTCACTCCCTTGTTATATCTTGCTTTGATTATTGTAACTCCTACCTCCCCATGAGCTATCCCCTCTTCAATCAATGATGAATGCTGCTGCCAGGCTCATCCACCTTACCAACCAAGCCCTCTCTGCCAATCAGTTCACTGGCTTCCCATTGCCCAACAAATAAAATTCTAAATATTTACAACAACTTCTAAAGCCTTTCATAACTCTGCCCAGAGCTACATCACCAATCTTTTCTCCAAATATCACCCAAACTGTTCTCTTTGTTCCTCCCAACACCTTCTGCTTTTTAGCTCCCTTGTCTCCTCCTCCCATGCTCATCTCGAGTTTTAGGGAAGAAGCCCCTACCCCTGTGTTGAGGGTCTACCAGAGACCAGCAGGCTGAGTGTGCCTGATAATGAAGGGTATAGCCATATTTCAGTGATCCACCCTCCAAAGGAGTCCGTAAGGCTGCAAGGGTACTAAACAGTACAGAATACGTACTTGAATTGAACTTTTTTGGTTTTCAACCAACATTTTGAATCATTTTAGTTGCCAATAATTAATTGAAGAATGAGAGAGAAGTTTTACAACATGGCGTTACCTTGAGGCATTAACGCATTCACATGCTATTTAAGCAAAATGCTTAAGCATTGCTAAGACAGTGATAATACTAATTGCTAAATGCTCTAAGGCAAACCTGTGTTTTACATATGTAGGGCAAAGCAACAGGTCACTCGTTCTGGGAGGACATCATATGATCACCGATCAACGGAAAGAGCCAATGACGTTGGCTCTGTCATGTGATCAGCTGTGTCCAATCACAACTGATCGCATGTAAATAAGGAAATGCCCGTTATTGGCATTTCTCTCCTCACGAGCTGTCACGCTGACAGCTCGTGAGGAGAGGAGAGCCGGTAATCGGCATTACTCAGAGGGGGACATGTACACTGATCATCAGAGCACTGATGATCAGTGTGCCCTGATGATCAGTGTAGCCCCATCAATGCCACCTGCCAGTACCCATCAATGCCACATATCAGTGCCTGTCTGAGCTGCCTTTCAGTGCCACCTATCAGTGCCAGTCAGTGCCACCTATCAGTGTTGCCAGTCAGTGCCACTTATCAATGTTGCCAATCAGTGCCACCTATCAGTGCCAGTCAGTGCCACCTATCAATGCCAGTCAGTGCCGCATATCAGTGCACATCAGTACCCCCTGACAGTGCCCGTCAGTGTCGCCTAATAGTGCCCGTCAGTGCCACCGAGCAGTGTCAGTCAGTGCCGCCTATCAGTGCCACCTATCGTTGCCATATATGAGTGCTGCCTTTCAGTGCCCATCAGTGATGCCTGTCAATGCCCATCAGTGCCTCCTCATCAGTGCTGCCTATCAGTTCCCATCAGTGCAGCCTATCAGTGCTCATCACTGCAGCCTCATTAGCGCACATCAGTGAAGGAGAAAAATCACTTATTAACAACATTTTAAAACATAAACTAAGATAAAACCTTTATTTATTTCAAAATTTTCAGTTGTTTTTGATTTGTTTAGCAAAAAATGAAAAAACTAGAGGTGATTAAATACCACCAAAAGAAAGCTCTATCTGTCTCAAAAAAATTATACAAATTTCATATGAGTACAATGTTGCATGACTGCACAATTGTCAATTTGCGACAGAGCTGAAAGTTGAAAATTGGCCTGGGCAGGAAGGGGGTATAAGTGCCCTGTAGTCTAGTGGTTAAATTTTTTTTTTTATGTTTTGGTATATGGAAGGGAATACGTAACAAATATAAAGTAAGAGGTATCCAGGTTGGCTGTAAAAGTGGAAATACTCTTTAAGAAGGGGCAAACCCTGCAAAATATGTAAATGTGGTTAATAATCATCATTGTTTACAAGAACTGTTATAGAAACCTAAAGCAGACCTAAACCCTCCTATCCTTTACAGCCAATAAAGATGCCATCTCAGCCTCTGTTTGATCTGTAGTCGCCATGGTGCTGCACATGTGATCAGTTATGACACCAGCCATTTTAAGGCTTGACAGTTCAGTTGAAAGCACAAGCAACTGTGACACTTAATATTCAGGTCATTCCTTCAATGTAACTGTTTTGGGAAGCTGTTACTGTATATCAGTGGGTTTAAATCTGTTTTAATGTGGGAAATAAAGAGCAAATATCCAGAGGAGATGTTTAATTTGATGCTATTTCTAAATATAGGACAAAGCACATGAACAAAGAGGACAGCTGACATGTCACCCATACCAATGTTAGAAAGCTTCTGAATACAAACGCAGCTTTATTATGAAGCCGAATCTTCTTGAACAAAATGTATTTCCCATGCTCAGCCCCCAGCTTTACTAATTCCCTATTAGCATTATCATAGAAACATTACTCAGCTGCACAGACCAGCCTGGTGTTATTGCAGGCTTCCCTTCCTCCCAGGGGGGGTGAATCCCCAGCTAAATATAAAGTGACAAATAGCAAATAGGTTATCCCTTAAAAATAAAGCATCAGGGGCTTGGGGTTGCTATGGGACCAATTGGTTGCTAGGAAACCCCTTGCTAACAAAGATTATGCTGGACCAGATGCCATCAGCCAGGTCACATGACTGGGATATGGAATCCACACCTATTGCATAGAAACACAGGCTTGGGATTACAGTTGTGGCCAAAATTATTCAACCCCCAATGCTGTAAAGGGGTTTAGGGACTATAGTGTACATTTGGAATTGTATTCAGAATCAAATCCTACAAGGACGTTGTAACTACCCAAATGCAACTAAAATGACATCAATTGTTTATGTAATACAGTAGTAAATGGTTCTTATGTGGTTTCTTCATTGCCACAATTATTCAACCCCTTAAAGACTACCACTCTGAAGAACAGAGGTTCATACAGGTGCTTTCCATCAGGTATTGAAAACACCTGTGGATGTCACCGAGCAGCAATCAAGCATAATAAGCACCAATTAGGCAGCTTTAAAATGACTGTGATACTCAGCTCCTTCTAGACATTTACTGGTGTGGTTACAAACATGGTGAAGGCAAGAGAATGGTCCAGGAAGACAAGAGAAGAGGTGATTTCTCTTCACAGGAAGGGCAATGGCTATAAGAAGATTGCAAAGATGTTAAACATACCAAGAGACACCTTAGGAAGCATCATTCGCAAATTCAAGGCAAAGGGCACTGTTGAAACGCTACCTGGTCGTGGCAGAAAGAAGATGCTGACTTCGACTGCTGTGCGCTACCTGAAGCGTAGAGTGGAGAGAAGTCCCCGTGTGACTGCTGAGGAACTGAGAAAAGATTTGTCAGATGTGGGTACAGAAGTTTCAGCCCAGACAATAAGACGCACACTGCGTAATGAAGGCCTCCGTGCCAGAACTCCCAGGCGTACCCCCTTGCTGTCTCCAAAGAATAAGAAGAGTCGACTGCAGTATGCCAAAAGCCATGTGGACAAACCACAAAAGTTGTGGGATAGTGTTCTGTGGACTGATGAAACAAAATTAGAACTGTTTGGGCCCATGGATCAACGCTATGTTTGGAGGAGGAAGAACAAGGCCTATGATGAAAAGAACACCTTGCCTACTGTGAGCATGGTGGAGGGTCAATCATGCTTTGGGGCTGTTTTGCTTCTGCAGGTACAGGGAAGCTTCAGCGTGTGCAAGGTACCATGAATTCTCTTCAGTACCAGGAGATATTGGATGGAAACGTGATGCAGTCCGTCACACACCTGAGGCTTGGGAGACGTTGGACCTTTCAACAGGACAATGATCCCAAGCATACCTCCAAGTCCACTAGAGCATGGTTGCAGAGGAAAGGCTGGAACATTTTGGAGTGGCCATCGCAGTCACCAGACTTAAATCCGATTGAGAACCTCTGGTGGGACTTAAAGAAAGCAGTTGCAGTGCGCAAGCCTAAGAATGTGACTGAACTGGAGGCCTTTGCCCATGAAGAATGGGCGAAGATACCCGTAGATCGCTGCAAGACACTTGTGTCAAGCTATGCTTCACGTTTAAAAGCTGTTATAACTGTAAAAGGATGCTGTACTAAGTACTAAGATTGAATGTCACTTGGGGGTTGAATAAAACTGATAATGCTGTGAGCACAGAAAAGACATTTGTGGTTATTTCATTATAACTGTTATGTTATATTTGTCTGACCTACAAGTGCCTCTTTAATGTAAATGTAAGCAAGATGACTGAATGATCAAAAGCAATGTCAAACTGGCCAAAACACTCAATTTCAGTGGGGGTTGAATAATTTTGGCCACAACTGTATATACATGTATATCAGGACCAGGCCATTCCTGTATTCTTATTTTATTTTTATTTGCCATAATTATATTACACTTGTCTATTTATATTAAAGCCAAACTGTAACATATTGGGACTTATTTAGAAATGAATGCATATCTCACCTTAAAGGGGAATATATATATATATTATTCTTTGTTTTGTTTTTTTTTATTTATTTCAGGTACTCATATAGCATTGTCAATTTACGCAGCGCTTTACATATATATATTGTGGATTCACATCAGTACTATGTGTATATATATATATATATATATTACACACACACACACACATAGTACGGATGTGAATCCATAATATATATATATATATATATATATATACATATATATATCTATACACACACACACATAGTACTGATGTGAATCCACTATATATATATATATATATATACACACACACACATAGTACTGATGTGAATCCAATATATTATATATATATATATTATATATATATACACACACACATAGTTACTGATGTGAATCCACAATATACTGTATATATGTAAAGCGCTGCGTAAATTGACAATGCTATATGAGTACCTGAAATAAATAAAAAAAACAAAAAAAAAAAATAGAATAAATAAAATATATATATTTTATATATATACATATACATATGTATATTGTGATTTCATGTTATTACAGATTACCTTTCAATCGAACTAGTAAATGTTCTGCAACTGTCAGTCTTACATGGTGCACTTATATATAAATATATATATTTCGAATTTATTCAGAGTCATATTACAGAAGACAACAGAGGCAGATGAAAAGAGATTTAGCCTCCACATACAGAAAGGCTTCTTCGCAGTAAGAGCTGTAAAAATGTAGAATAGACTCCCTCAAGAACTAAGTTGTGGCCAGCTCAGCAGATTGTTTTTAAAAAAGAGCTGGAATGCATTCCTAAATTATTATTATTATTATTATTATTATACAGTATTATTATAACAGTATTTATATAGCGCCAAAAAGTTTGCTCAGCGCTGTATTTATTATAGTGGGGGACAGTACATGAGACAATACAGTAACAATACAATACAATACACAAGCGGTTTGAGGACCCTGCTCCTTGGAGCTTACAATCTAGGAGGGAGAGGGATAGTGGTACAGGAGGAAATGGCTGTGGGGGATGGAGTGGTGGGAGGAGATCGGCTGTAAGGTGAGGGCGGGGTAAGGCTTCCCTGAAGAAATGATTTTTTTCAGGGTGCACCTAAAGGTGAGGAGGGTAGATGAAAGTCTGATGGATTGGGGTAGTGCGCGCCATAGGATGGGGGAAGACCTGGAGAAGTCCTGGAGTCGGGCATGGGAGGAGGATTTGCATGGGATGCATTAAATATACCTGGATACTAACATTTATAGGTAAATAATACCAGAAACTGTTGATCCAGAGACAAATCCAATTGCCTTGGAGGATCAATAAGGATTTTTTCCATGCTGGAGCAAACTGGATCCGTTCTGTATATATTTTCTACGTTTTGTTCTATTGCATATTATAATATAATATAACATGATAGTATATTATATGATGTTATATTATTATATATTGCATTACATTATATTACATATATATTATTATTTTTTTTTCTAATATATATTATAATATTATGTTATATTATCTTTATTATTATTATATATTGCACTATTATATTATATTATATTTATATTACATTATATTACATGTATTTTTTTCCTAATTATATAATATAATGTTATAATATATTATATTATATTATATTAAATTGCATTACATTGTATTATATTATCTTTTATTACATTATATTACATATGTATTATTTTTTTTCTTTAGTTGAACTAGATGGACGTGTGTCTTTTTTTCAACCTTACTATGTAAAATAAGCATGTTGCTGGCTTTCGCTATATTTGAACCAAACTGTAATGCACAGCTGTTATATTTTTCAGATTTTATTTTTTCACATATGTATGAATGTGGGTAATATTTGC